CACTGCCCAGGCGGGTCTCGAACCCGCGGGCTCAGGCAATTCACTCACCTCAGCCTCCCAAAGGCGCGGGATTACAGGCTGAGCCACCGAGCCCGGCTCAGAGCCAATATTTTAAGGAAATTTTATTCTTGGATGATTTAGTTTATAGTAGGTTTTCAGATGCTTTTAGGAGAAGGTTAGTCTCCTCTTTTGTTAGGAGTTCCTTAACAGAAAAAATCTGAGGATTGCTGTCATAGGGCACAACATGGAGTAGTTGGGAACATGCCCTTACTTTCTAGGTTGCATCCCGATTCCGCCACTTGCTAGCTCTGTGACCTTGGACAGGTTATATAAACTTCTGTACCTTACTTTCCTCATCTTTGAAATGGAAATGATAATTGTACCTAGGATAGAGAGAATTAAATGGGTTATGCAGTGTAGGTACAAGTCCTCACACATTTTAAGTGCTCAGTAAATTCTACCTGGAAAGTTACAGCAGATTGAGATGAACAAAAGCTGTCCCAGGTAGAGTTTTTTTTCATATTCTGTATTTCCTAACTAGTTTTAAAGCTGGCCAGAATGACAAAGATACTTTATGAAAAGAAAGACTGAGGAACTTCTTCAGATGAAAGAAGAATAATGAAACACAAAAACTTAAATATTCAGCCGGGTGTGGTAGCGCGTGCCTGTAATTCTGGCTACTTGGAAGGCTGAGGCGGAAGGATAGCTGGAGCCCAGCAGGCCGAGGCTGCGGTGGCCGGGAGTGGCCACTGCATTCCAGTCTAGGCGACAGAGTGAGACTACAACTCAAAAAAAAAACACAAAAAACTTAAATACAATGTGTGGTCCTGAATTAGGAAAAATATTACAAATATAGTATATTATTAGGAATTCTAAATATGGATTACTTATTAGATAATACGATTGTGCTGATATTAAATTTCCTGAATTTTACAGTTGTAGTGTTAGCAATTGAAAAATATAGGTAGCTCTTCTTATTCTCCATCATGGTGCAGGATCAAGGTGAAAAGGAGAACCTCATGTAGGAACTTCGCATCTGCCAACTCTGCCTCAACATCTGTGTGGGGGAGTGTGGAGACAGACTGACCTGGGCAACCAAGCTCATTGGCCAGACTCCTGTGTTTTCCAAAGTTAGATACACTGTCAGATCCTTTCGCATCAGGAGGAATGAAAAGTTTGCTGTCCAACTGCACAGTTGGAGGGGCCAGAGCAGAAGGAATCCTGGAAAAAAGGGTTGGAGGTGTGGAAGTATGAACTAAGAAAAAATAACTTCTCAGATACTGGAAACTTTGGTTTTGGGATCTAGGAACACATCGATCTGGGTATCATATGTGACTCAAGCATTGGTATCTATGGCTTGGACTTCTATGTGGTGCTATGTAGACCAAGTCTCAGCATTGCCGACAAGAATTGAACAGGCTGTATTGGGGCCAAACACAGAATCAACAAAGAGGAGGCTGTGCGCTGATTCCAGCAGAAGTTTGATGGGATCATTGTTCCTGGCAGATAAATTCTCACTTCTATCCAAAAGGTCAATAAAAAGTTTTCAGTGAAATTTTAAAAAGAGAGAAAAATATAGATAAAGGCTATATAGGACTTAAATGAACTAGTTTTGGAACTTTTCAGTAGTTGAGTTTAAGAATGCTAAAACCCACATTCAACTTCTGAAATAACAAGACAACGAATTTATTGTTACTATAGCAAGAGACACTATACTTTTCAGGCACATTTTCTCTGGTCACAGAGATTGCTGATCTTATAGTGGAATTTTGAGAAGAGTGGACTTTCAAGGTCCTGTATGGGTTGATATTTGTCGATACGAGGTCACTTGAGTGAGATTGCTAGGACTGATTGACACAAGGAAGTGGGCTTATTGGAGTAAGTTTGTTCCTGACTGGCTAACTTTCCCAGGCAAGCAGCTGTCACAGGTTTATCGACTTGAGAAAATTTGTTCATTCAAATGAGTTTTTGTCATTCTCTTGAATAGGTTTAAAACAATTTAGTGGCTACTTGTTAAGGCCACAGAAAGAACTCTTAGAGATGTGGAAATTTGAAAATATTGCCAGTGTAAATTTTTCTGTAATTAAAAAGCTAGAAACATTGTTAGAATTAGAGAAAGTATTATTATTTTGTGTTGAAGGACATCTGAAAACATGATATCCACTTACAAAGTGAAAATATATTTATCATTTTATCTGAACATAAAATTTTTATATTTCTTATAAAAAAGCTACATAACGTACAAAGGTGTAAAGTGAAAATCATTTGTTAATACTGTCACACAGAGATAGTCACTGTTAACATATTACTTGTATAGATTTCTTGATTGTATTCTTACGTGGTTTGAATCCTGACTTTTTCATTTAATAGATGTAATACTTTGGTCTGGTTACTTGGCTGCTCTGTGTTTCAGTTTTTACATCTGTAAAATAGGAATAATCTTCTTTTTTGAGTTGGGAAATAAAATGAATTAGTCTAAATAAAACATTTAGACCAGTGTCTAGCACATAGTGCTGTATATAATTGCAAACAAATGTCTTAGAATGGACATAATATAGTGCTATTATTACTATATTATGTCCATTCTAAGACATTTGTTTGCAATTTTCTGCAATTGGGATTTATGTTAACAACTGATAATAATAGTGATGGGCAGTTTTAAAAATTGTTGTTGTTTTCTTTGTGGTCCATAAAATAATGATATGTCTTACAACTGATAATGTATCTTAGATTGTATAAAATACAGTATGTGTGCATCTATTTTTATAATACAGAGTGAAGTCATATAATGCATACTGTTGTACACCTTCAAAAATTTTTATAAGGATATAGTTTCAATGTCAAATACAGATTTACTTAATTCTGTATAGTGACTACATGTATAGTGTTACGTGGATATGCTGTAATTTATTTACTGTTCATCATTCTTTTTTTTAAGAGACAGGGTCTTGCTCTGTCACCCAGACAGGAGTGCTGTGGCAGCCTCAAACTCCTGGGCTCAAGGGATCCTCCCACCTTAGCCTCCTAAGTATCTGGAACTACAGGCATGTGCCCTATGCCTGGCTAGTTTTTTAATTTGTTGTGGAGACGTGGTCTTGCTGTGTTCTTCAGGCTGATCATGATCTACTGAACTCAAGTGATCCTCCTGTGTTAGCATCCCAAAGCACTGGGATTACAGACGTGAGCCTCTGTGCCTGGTTCTTCATCTATTAAACAACATTTTGCTTTCATGGAAGATTTTAATAAGTGTAACTTGGGGAAAGAGGCATCACCAGGGAGGATAACCTGAGTGGAGATCGAGACAAAAAGTGCAAGTTGTATTTGGTGACTATTTCTGTTTGACAAGACAGGAAGTTTGGGGCAGATTATAAACTGTATTGAGTGCTGGGTTAAGGACTTTAGTTTTTTCCCCCCCAATATTTTGTGGAGTCATTCAACACTGAAGAGTAATTGGAAATATTTTTTTTTTGTTGGGTTTGCCTATAACCCCATCCATATAGTAACTGAATGGATTGACATCAGCTTAAAATGGTTGTATTTAACGTTTTTATTAATAATGATAAAGATGTAGAAAATATACTCATTAAGCATAAATATGTGCTTATGAAATTGTGACAAATAGCAAAAGAGGTTGGATTATAAAATTAAGGTCCTATGTTATCCTAACAGGGTACTATGGTGGATTGAATATTAATTGTTAAAAATTTGTAAGGATAAAAGGAAGATTTTGCCCTTCGTTTAATAGAAATTAAAAAAAAAATTCCACAAGGATGGTTGTTCAAGTATGGTTTGATTTAGTCAACAGTACATTTGGAAAGAGTATCTGGTTTTAATGAAGAATTAGTTGTATCAGTGGAAGTAGCTCATCTGGAATAAGATCTTATCTAGTTTGTTCTTGTTAGCACTTATTTGTAGTTTGGAGTACCACACTGAAAGAAATATAAAAAAGTTGGAGTGAGTTTAGGAAGGAACAAACAGGTTGGTGAAGGAAGTCAAAACTATTCTGTATCAAGAGTAATTGGGGTGTGAGGGAGGGAAGGCCATGGTAGTAGTCTTTAAAGTAGTTCAAATTGGTTAGTATAGCATCAAATATGGCTCAGTGTAGTTTAAAAAAAAAATTATTTCTAGTGTCAATTCTAACTGTTTTCAAATGTTTCCCTTCATTTCCTATGTTCTTTGAACATTCTGTAAACTTGCAGGTATGTGCTGTGTTGGCATATAAGAAAAGTAACCAGGCAGTGGTATCTGAGGGTATTTGAGAAGGGAAATGCAGACTATGAGCGGGAAACAGTTGATGAATTTCAACTCAAATTCTAATTTTCATTCATTTTTTTCTGTTTATAATTTTGTTATAAACTTAGTGATTAAATTGCCATTAAAACTGTTTTCAGAACTACACATCCAGTCTTTTTTGAATTTTTATTATATAAATTGGTATCATGGATCATACATTATTGCACCTTTTGGCACATGAGAAATTGTAAGCTCTCATACCGTGTAGTTGGTGGTCTGGGCCCAAATTCTTTCTCTTATTATTTTTCAAAGAGACAGGGTCTTACTGTGTTGCCCTGGCCAGCCTTGAACTGCAGGACTTAAGTGATCCTCCTGCCTCAGCCTCCAGAGTACCTAGGGCTACAGGGATGTACTGCCACGCTTAGTTTCTTTTTCTTTTATGTATCCCTCATTTTGAAAGTATTTTTGCAATTTAATTAATATTTTATGATTCTTGTATAAGGTTCATGGAAGGACTTTAAATTCCCTTTAAGAGAAAGGAATACCTTGAGGGGATATTGCTATTATTGGTTGGATTATTAAAATGTTTACTTTATATGCTTTTTCTGTTATTAGTTATTATACAAAATATTATCAGTATTTTACAATCTAAGCTGTGACAGGCTCAGTTATTTACTTGAGAAACATTGAGCATGAATTTGCTATAGCAAACATTGAGTTTCAAATTTTCACTTTGGCTAGGAATAAACTTTTTTTTTTTTAAACAGATCAAGAAGTTGGTGTATGTTTACCTGGTTCGATATGCTGAAGAACAGCAGGATCTGGCACTCTTGTCCATAAGCACTTTTCAGCGAGCTCTGAAGGTAAATAATGGAGTGAGTAGGCAAATAACTACAAGGTTTCTGCACAGTTGAAAGTGTGTCATGTAAAGAAGTAGAGTAATAATTCACTAAGTAGCACAGTAGTGTCTTGAAAGAGTTAAAAGGCCTCCCATAGATCCTCTTCAATAACCTTGGAAAAGAACTTATAAAACCAACTGGAACTTTGCCATATATGTTGCAGCTTCTGAAATTTGTGACCTGCAGCATTTTATTATTATGAAACTCTAAAAGCCCGGAACATTTAGTAATAAATGATCAGCTAGAATTATAACCATTACTTTTCTTTAAAGCATTATTTAGATAAATAAACATTTATTTACTTTTGTCATTTTTCCCATTTCCATATACTGGTTGTTTATTTAAAATTAAGCAGTTTTCTTTTGCTGTTGTTATGTTACACATAGCAATACTGTACTACTAACTGTGTCATAAAGATGTCCTTGAAATATTGTAAACTTGAAATTTTGGTGAATATTTTGTCACTGTTTTTAGGACCCAAACCAACTAATTCGTGCAAGTGCTTTGAGAGTTCTGTCAAGTATTAGAGTGCCAATTATTGTACCTATCATGATGCTTGCTATTAAAGAAGCTTCTGCTGACTTATCACCATATGTTAGGAAAAATGCAGCCCATGCAATACAAAAATTATACAGGTAGGTGCTTTGTTAACAGTCTACCAAAGATCTCTAATGTCACATGGAATATTTATATCACAGATGCTTATTTTTATTGGCTTTTATAACTAGCCTATCCTTATACTAAGTAGATCCAATGATTATATTTTTTTCCCTCTACAAATATTACTTATACATCTTTAATTTTGTTTTAGTTATAGAGACCCTATTCAGGTTTTTACTTGAGAGTCTGTTAGGGCCTGTGATAATTTGTATGTTTTATAATTTAAAAATAATCAGAATTTGAATTCTCATTTATATAGTCAATCATATATATGATTAGAAAATTGAGATTTTTTTTTTTTTTTTTTCTCTTAGGTGTATTTTCCTCTCAACACACTTACTTTGCTTCTGGTGCTTTCTTCCTTGTCTGATTCTTTTCCAGAGCTATTTTATTAAATAATTTTAAAAAATACAGTGATTTTTAAATATATTGTCATGCCATATTTTACCATTTTACAAGTGTCATATGATACCCTAGTCTCTGTGGAAAACTTATTGTCCAAATAGAGTTATTTGCAACAATTTGGTGTTACTTTCTGCTGTCACTTATTCTGCAAGCTTTTTTGAGACCCTTTTCTGTTTCTGGTATTGTGTCCATTGTATTGTGCTGTGTGCATTAGATGGAGGAAAACAGTAGAGGATGTAGTACTTACGAATAGCATATCACATATTGAGGGAAAAGATTAAGCATATGCCAAATAATTAAAGGCAGTCTTTAATGGATTAAGTTAGTAGCATTTGGTAAATATGTATATACAAAGATACACTAGCAATGTCTTTGATAGAACAGTGGCCAGACAGTATCATAAGTGTTACTAGAGAGTAAAGATATAATGGAATAGGATTAGTTATGGAAGACTGCTTTGAGAAAGGAAATTTCAGCTGAAATTTGAAAAATTAAAAGATGTGAATGTTCAGATAATTATAATGGTTTACAATAAACTTACATAATGTTTGTAAATAGTAAAACCTCATCTTCTTAGGTTGAAAGTCAGACAAAGTTTTATAATGCTTCTCACTCATTTTTTCTCATTAAACTTGCAGGATAAGGTCCATGCTCACTGTAATGGTTTAGAAGACCCTCTGTCACTGGGCTCTGGTTTACCTCTCCAGCCTTGATACTTGCCTTCTCCCTGTCTTGAACTTGTAGTCTGGTAGCTCAGTATTGCCTATTAGTCCTCTACAGCAAATATTTTAATTTCACTACTACCTCTTATTTTTCTTGGTTTTCGATAGCAGGTTTTATAAGGCACATTTCTATCAGTGAACTCGTGTAGTATAAAATTATTTGGGAATTTCTATATTTATTTTTGACAATTATGTATCCATAGTAAAATAATAATAATAACTACTGTCTTGTCCCCCCCCAGTTGAAAAAAGTTTCATGAGGTTTTCCAACCTTTTTTAGAAGTAATTTGTTTTTTAAATACGTCCTGAATTGCATTAATATGAGCAACTTTAGAGGTAAAGATTAGTACACACTTACGACAAAAACCTTTCTATTTTTCCTTTTTTTTTTTTTGAGTTGGAGTCTCACTCTGTTGCCCAGACTGGCCTCCCAGCCACCACAGCCTCGACCTGCTGGGCTCCGGTGATCCCTCCGCCTCAGCCTTCCAAGTAGCCGGAATTACAGGCATGCTCTACCACGCCCGACTGATTTTTTGATTTACTGTAGAGATGAGGTCTCGCCGCCCAGGCAGGTCTCGAACCTGCAGGCTCAGGCAATCCACTCACCTCAGCCTCCCAAAGGCATAGGATTACAGGCTGAGCCACCGAGCCTGGCTCCAATTTTCTTTAAATTTGTTTTATATTTGTTTCTATCTTGAAATAATTCTTATTCTCCCTTGCTCTTTTAAGTTTCTTAGCATCCTTGAAATGGTGAACATCATTTAAAGCTAGAATTAAAGGGGAAAATGTTAATGTAAGTGTTTTTTATATTTTAGTCTTGATCCAGAACAGAAGGAAATGTTAATTGAAGTAATTGAAAAACTTCTGAAAGATAAAAGCACAGTAAGTAATATCTTTTTATGTAATTGATGTAAAATTTGCTTTATTTGCATAGTATTTACCATGTATATTTGATATACTTATTTTTATTTATTTCAAAATGATGTAAGTATTAATGGAGCTCATACCTATTTTAAAAATTTTTGAAGAACAAAAGATTTCATGTAATGAGAAGAATTGCATTTGGAATTTTAGTTTGTTACATGTTTCTTCATCAGAGTCTGAAGAAGGGGAAGTTGGGGAAAAAATATTCTTTAACCTGTGGTAAATTGTAGACTGCTTTTAGAGTTGAAGTTTTTATTTCAAGAAATGATTTATTAGGATTTTATTTATTTATTTTTAACTTTACAATTTTTTTTACTTTAAAATTGTGGGGTACAATTCAGGGTTAGGTATATAAATATTCATTGTGCAGGTACCCTTTGTTGATGAGGTGTGCTCCCACTTCTCCATATTAGGATTTTAAAAGGCTTAATAAATCACCTGGGAATAAATAATTTTCTTAAAATGGAATACTGACGAATACTCCAGAGATATTGAAAAATTAGAGGGGTGTGTTTTAGTATTAAAATACTGAAACATTTTCATATGTACAAGGTTATTTTATTGACTGCTAGGGATGCTCTTATTAGCTAAAATGAGTCATCTTTTGGGAATGTGTGGATCTCTTACTCCATTCTTCCCCAGCCTCATTTTTTGTGTGTAATGACCTGATAGCAAGATCCAGGAATGAGGTGACTCATGGAGTCTGGATTACTGGTGTACTGGTGGTGGCTTAGATGGGACTTTTGTACTTCCTTTATATGAATCATAACTACCAAGGTCATCTTAGGATGCTATCATCAGGAGGTATGTAATAGCTGTGTGTAGCAGATATCTAATATGGTAGCCACTAGTCACATGTAAACTGTTGTTTTATGGATTAGCATATAAGCCATAAAAATATGTTCTATTTATATTTGAAAATGTAAAACTAAGAAATATATATGATCTGTTCTGGGTAATGCTCAGTGTAGAATTGAGAAGAATGTATATACTGCTGTTGTTGAGTGAAGTGTTCTATAGATGTCTGTTAGTTCTGCATTGTTTAGATCTTCTTTGTTGATACTATGCCTACTGGTACTATTCAATATTGAAATCAGGTTATCCGAATCTCTTCATTTCTGACCGTGTTTGCTTCATCTACTTAGGAGCTCAGATGTTTGTTGCATATATGTTTATAGTTTTCAAATCTTTCTTTTGTTATTGTAAAATTTTCCTCTTTATAGTAACACTTATTTTTTTTCCTTTTTGAGTTGAGGCTGCCTGGGCTAAAGTGTAGTGGCATGATCATGGCTCACCACAGCCTCGACCTCCTTGGCTCAGGAGATCCTTCCATCTCAGTCTCCTGAGCAGCTGGTACTATATGCATGCACCACTATGCCCAGCTAATTTTTAATTTAATTTAATTTTTTTGTAGAGATGATGTCTCACTATGTTGCCCAGGCTGGTCTTGAACTCTTGGGCTCAGGTAGTCCTCCCACCTTACCCTCCCAAAGTGCTGGGATGGCAGTCATGAGACACTGTGTCTGGCCAACACTTCCTCCTTTGAAGTCTATTTTTCCCAATAAATAAAACTATTCCAGCTTTGTTATGGTTGCTCTTTGTGTTATTTGCCTTTTTTTATCCTTTGACTTTCAACCTTTATATTTTTTAATCTAATGTATGTCTCCTGTAGACAGCATGTAATTGGCTCTTGTCTTTTTATCCACTATGGCAATATGTGCTTTTTGATTGGATTGTTGAATCCATTGGTACTCAATGTTATTATTAATACAGTTGGATTTTAAGCTGCCATTTTACTTGTTTTTCTATCTTATGTCTTTATTGTTCCTCATTTCTTCTTTACTGCCTTTTTTTCCCCACATCAGTTAAGTGAATCTGTTCTAGTGAACATTTTAATTCTTTGTTCTTTTTGAGGATCTCATTCTGTTGCCCAGGCTGAAGTGCAGTGGCATGCTCATGTCTACAAAAACCTCAACCTGCTGGGCTCGGGCGATCCTTCTGGAAGCCTTAGCCTTCCAAGTAGCTGGAACTATAGGTGCACACCACCACACCCAGCTAATTTTTTGTATTGATTTTTTTAATGGTAATTTTACATCCTGCTTCTTTACTGAATTCTGTTGTTTGAACTAGTTTTCTCATTCATTTTTGTTTTCTTACATGACAAAGAGTCTTTACATTTAAATGACCATTAGTACACCAAGTAATAACATGTAACAAGTTCTTGAACTCTTATCATCTAGAATTTTGATTAAGATACATTAAAAGCAGTACAAACAATTGTTATTCTAAACACTAGCAGGGATAGACCACCCTAAGACTGGCTGCTGGTTCACATAGGTTACAATAACTACTTAATACTTTTTCATAGATAAAGGCTCTGACCTTCAAGAAAGCATTGGGGGGGGGGATTGTTTAATCCCTTTCTTCAAATAATTGCTATTTTTTTTTTTTAGAAAAACTAGATCTAACTGAGAAAAAGTAAAAATTGATGTGTATGTTGCCTGAGCAAAAAGACATAGGAAGACAGACAATGTATGTTCATTAAGTTTCCAAGAAATATGAGGTAACAAGGTGAAATCTTTAGATAAATTCTTAAGTCTATACAAAGAAGCTAGATTTGTTACTCTTCAAAAGCGTATTGTATATTACTGTATAATATTAAAAAATAATTTAATGCTTTTCATAAAAATATAATTCGAGTTTTGCTAAAGCATCATATTCTATGAGAGTATCTAAGATGCCAGTCTATGGAGCAGGCGCTTCTATTTTCTCCTGTTCTTTTCTGTGGTCATTTTCATAGATTTCTGGCTGGATGTTGCAGACAAGGCCAAGAGGTTATGCAGCAAGTGTCCTAAATCTGTTCTTGTTTATTTATTTTTCTTTCTTTTTTTTCCTTTGTGAATGAATCATTATCTGCAAATAGATTTATTTTACTTCTTTACTTCGCTTTTCCAGGGCTCTAATATCTCATGTCTCATTTTGTTGGTTAATACCACCACTGCAACAGTTGTAGTAGTGGAGGCAGTGGGCGTCCTTGCCTTGTTTCAACCGTATTAATAGTTAACAGTTTTAGAACTTATTTCTGGCAGAGTATTTTGTTTTCTTTTTCAAAGATTATAGTTTTAAATATTCTGCTTGTTACTTTTTTCTTCTTCAAGGATTCCGGCTTCATACATGTTGGATCATCTTTGCCTGTCTTACATTTCAATCATTCTCTCTCTAAACCTTTGTACGTCTTTCTTTATCTCATTTTTATTCTCTTGGTTCTTTTTGTACCTTTCTTTAATATCCTTTATTAAGTTTTAATTGAACAATTTTCTTCAAGGAGTACCTTGCAATTTAGTTTTCATGTTGGATTATTCCTACCACCCCCTTTGATTTCTTTCCTGGTTTCAATCAGTTTTGGTTTCTTTTGTTAATTTCTGTTCTGTTTTTGACTTTGAATTTATGTTCATTTTTTTCTATGTTCAAATGCTTCTTTTGAGAGTATCTAAGTCATTTTGGAGGGTTTTCTTTTTCTTCATTACTGATCTTTTTTTGTGGGTAATTTTTATCAGTTGCATATCAGTTGATTTTTCTGTTTTCAACACTTATAAATTATTTGCATCTTTGGACAATATTGGTGGTTTAATTTTCAGATAGCTTGCAGAATTCCTAGTGCAAGAACACTCTGTGAGAATAGTAAAATATGTTTTCTTATTAGATGACTTTTTTGAGAGAGGTCATGCATAGGATTGCCATGTATTATAAGATCATTTTTAGATAGATTTTGTGGGACTCAAATTTTCCCCTCCTATTTATTTTTTTCCTTATCTTGCCATTTCCAAGGAGCTCTCCCTCTACTTTTTTTTTTTCTAAGATGGCCTGATTGTATCATTTTATCTTTTCTTTAAGTCTCTTTCTTATAGTCTGTTTTGATCTACTAAGAATCTTTTTAGTATTTTCACTCTTAGGGTGTTTTTTTCTCTTTCTATTTTTGGTTTACTCTTATGCTGACCACCAACTTTTATCTGCTTTGTTCCAGGCAGTTTTTTTTCCCCACACTGTCTTTTTGAAGTTTTGTGGTTATGTATAAGCATGAAAATACCCTCTGGGATTTAGGGCTTATTTACATATATTTTGAAGTTTGGAGGTTCTCTGTTTTTGAGTTAGGCTTAGGGCATGGGCTTTCGTTTTTTGTTTCTTTGGGATCTGGGTTGGAAGATTCAGATTTACGCAGGCACTGTTGACTTGTCTCTGCAACATTTAAACTGCTTATGTTTTGAAAATATTTTCAGATAATTTTTCCCTTTGTGTGATCATATTTCATGGTAGAAAAGTTACAAATATCCTGATACCTACACAGATATTTATGATCTTCTCTTAATTATTACCTTTTTTGGGTCATGTGTGATACTTTATTGAAGGAAGATAGGTACACTCCCCCTCACCCTACATTTATAATGTCAGCGTTGACATTTCAAATCAATGAAGAATCAAAAATCATTTTCATTAAAAAACAACTCCTAATTAAATGAATCAGGTCTAATTAATTTCCACATTTTTGAAAAGGAATCAATTTGCTGTCAGTAGGAGTTTCTTGGAATCATTATCATGATGATACCACTGATGTTGCTGATAAATATAAATTTGAAAGATGTTAATCTTTTAAACTTTCTTCATTTTAACCTCTGTTGCTTTGGAGACATACCATATGTTGCTTCTTCTAGGCTATAGGAAGATTTTCTTTGAGTCGAGACCTCAAAGAAGATGAAAAGAATCCTCATTTTCAGGAAAGGTAGAACTATAAACATATTTGTACTAGAGAAAGACCAGTATTTATCAGATGATCAGTTCTTTTCTAAAAATAAATCACTATGGGTTAGGAACACAGTTATGGTAAAATATTTGCATATTTTAAAAGATATTATAAAAACCTTACAACTGTAGTCAATGAAATTAAATGGAAATATTTACTCTGTATTCCATCATTCCCAATCAACTGCTATAATTTTTCATTATGCAGTTTTTAATTGTATATTCTTAAATTTTATACCATTTTCATTCACCTTCTCAACATATTCTAAACACTTTTCTACTTTACTACAAACATTTACTAATGTTTACTTTATGAATTCATTTAAAAAATTTATAACACTTTCACTTGTTTTTCTTTAAAATGTGGAAATCCATGTTTGTTGATATTCTTTTATGTAGAACACCTAAAAAGCAAGGTATCATTTATTTCCTTTTTCTTTCCATTTAATCTTAAAGAAATCCTTTTGATAGCATTTGACTTTCTGATAGAAAATAGAGTTTCTTAGGAAAACAAATTAGGTCAGTACCTACTGAGAAACTGATTTATTTTTTGATGAGAGTTTCTTCTTGTTAATTTTTGCTACAAAATTATTTTGAATGAATAGATTGGTAGTTTATAGCTAAACTCTAGGAGTAAGACACCATTTTTTAAGTTATTGATTTAATGTTGGTAAAGCCTCACTGTTATGGGCAAAAAAACACCTCTGATTTTGTGGAGATGTTTTATTGTGATAGATCTATTATCCAGCTATTAGAAGATAAATGACTAATCTTTCCCATTTTCCATGCCTCAAGAAAATTGAAATAAGAAGGGGAATATCATTTGGGCTGTATGATTAGGGCAGGTTGGATGGCCATTAATTTAAGGAAAGAAAATCTCGGCAGCATTGGCCAACTTACACCATATTATCAATCAAACCTTGATGCACTTCTTGTGATGACCCAGCACTCTCAGGTTTTTGCAACGTTAATTAGAATTCATGACAAAATAGATGCAAGGAAACGTTTTGTACCCTTCATAATTTTATAGAAAATTTATTGTTATTAGAGGAACCATTTGCTTAGTGTGATTTTTTTCATTACCAGCTTGTCAACTAGCATAGATAATCTAGAGAAAATATGAACTCCGTAGATGGGGTGTCACTTTTGTTGATGGTTCATGTAGTTTACCTTGGAGCACAGCTAATGGCTGAAGTTCATAGCAACAACACAGAAAAACGTGGCTACCAGGGGAAGATAAATGAACCATGTTTATTGCTTTAATATAAAAAATACATAAATGGAAAACTGCATTTGAATTTGATGAGCTCATTGCTAGTTTTGTTGGAGTGATTTATATTTCCCCTTACATGAAAAGCTACTATTGACACAGTGAGATGGAAATTAACTGTCTGCTTTTTGGAAACCGATATTTTTGGTTTTAAAACCTGAGTAGATCATTTTATTTTAATTCTGAATGTTTTATAAAATATTGAACATTTAAGAGACCAAAATTATTAATTTTTCTGCTAGTATTTAGCTCAGGATCAGATTTTTAAAACTATACAATGAAGTATCTAAAATGGTCAGTTTTATTTTATAAAAGTACTCTTTATTTTCTAATTATTTTTATGTTTCCTTAAACTTTATTTGTACTAAAGTAATTGCTAATTTTCTTTCCTTTTTCTTTCAGTTATATTTGTTAGTACTTTAGAATGTGTCAGTCCTTTGGAATTATTGTGTATTTTGGCTCTTGATTTAATAAATTTAATATTGTATGATAGCTGATATTCCATTTAATTGTTTGGTATCTAAACATATTTGGAAAAAAATAATTTTAGGTTTAGATAAAATAACTTGATTTTATTTTGTTGAATTGTTCGTTCAACTGTGTGGATCATTTTGTTCTGAGTGATATTCTTTATTTTTGTACTTGAACACCCTTTGCCAATTGATATAGGTATTATCATTGATATATAGTATAGATGTTTATATTTCACAAATAATGAGTTATTCTATAGTTTGGTCTCATATACTTAGTTGTTTTAAGAGATTTTAAAATTATGCTAATGCTAACCTCATAGAAATACAATTATCACAAAATAATTTCTGAAGAGTAGTTTTTGCTGAAGACAACAAAATGTGGAGTTGAAAACATGAACTTAACTTCCTTTCCATTATCAATAACAAATGGAAAATTATACGTGTAACACATTTTTATTTAGTTCACACAAATAATCAATTCTTTGCTTTTTCGATTGAGGTGCATACATGCTGGGACCAGCAGGCACCAGTACATGAGCAGGGCTGGAGTCAATAAATGCAGCTTCACGTTTATACTGATTGGTAATTCGTAAAATCCCCACAGGACTTGAAACTTGCTTAGCATAATAGCACGTCTATATTCTGAGCTGTTTTCCTTCAATTGTATTGTTGGTTGCATATTAATAAACTAAATGTCAGCCAAGTAGAGGGACAAACACTCAAAATATGAATATCATTGTAGCTAATATTTTTCAAAAGTACCATTTCAGTAAGTTATATTTCTATTTAATTGCTTATTTTAAGTCATTGGGGAAATTTTAGACACTAAATTGGAGATCCCTGGTGTTCAGAAAGAATATGATATTAATTTGTTTTTCAAAACCATAATATATTGTGGGCTCACTGTACATGTATCAGTGGTACATATGTAGAAATAGTTGTATATTTAAATATTCTGCTTAGCTTGTATCTTTAGACTAAAAGGATCTTAATTTTATCACTTTGTGAGGGCATGAACAATTTAAAAACCAACATTTATGATTCATTAATTGGTCTTGGAGAAAACTGCCTTTTATTGGTAATATATTATTACAATTTACGCACATTGTTATAAAAGTGGTGATAGCCCAGGTGATGTACTAAAATTTCAGCCATTATATTTTCTTTGTAAACAAAGTCCATTCGTAAAGACATGTGGATTAAGATGTGTAAGATTGGAAAATATTTTTACACTAAAAAACCTTATGCATTTCTCATATACTTTTTAATGTAAATTCATTGTAGAATTATTGTCATTTTAAACTGATACAGTGTTATTGTCTTGGTTCTTTTTCTGAATATTGTTATGAACAGAGTAGTGAATTTTTAGAATAGAATTAGGTTAGTTTTAAAAATGAAAAATGTGCATGATTAATGTTTAATCTGTACATAAATAATTTATTATTTATCCTGATGAAATAAAAATTGAGTTTACCTCTTTTCAGAATAGTATTTGTTTTCCAGACATATTAGAGCTATTATGATTATTCTTTGAGAGATAGATACTTTAAAATTTGTTATTTGAATGTGATCATTCATTTTAATGGAATGACTGAGTACTTTAAATATTGATTGGCATGACACTGATTATACCACTACAATGCCTGAGTATTTGGTGGGGGGGAGTAACTCTTTTTAATAAGTTACTATTTCTTTCTTGTTTAGCTTGTAGCTGGCAGCGTTGTGATGGCTTTTGAAGAAGTATGCCCGGATAGAATAGATCTGATTCACAAGAATTACCGCAAGCTATGTAATTTACTAGTTGATGTCGAAGAGTGGGGGCAGGTTGTCATAATTCACATGCTGACTCGATATGCTCGGACACAGTTTGTCAGTCCTTGGAAAGAGGTAAGTGTTGAGTGGTCTTCTACTTATCAAGTAGACTGAAAGAATGAACGAGCTTTTAAAAACGTGTACAAAAAAAATTAAGACTAATAAAATATAGAAATGTGCATATTTAAGGAGGACTCATTTTTCTCATGTTCTTTTAGAAAAGCAGGAAACCAATATAAATGCAAGAATAATTGTCCATTATTTTGGCACTGACTGATAAGTATTTAGTAGCATAGTATATAATAAACTATTAGTATGATGTCTGGCAAGAGGCCCTTGATAGGAGCAGTAGCAAGATACAGTACTCACAGTGTCATTGCCAAACCATGGTTTTTTTTGTTGCCAGTTACTTTCACACCTTTGAGTCCCAGCTGTGCCAGGTACTCATTTGTAAAAGTGGGTGATGTGATTCTGTAAACATGTGAACTTATACCTAAAATAATTTCTTACCTTTCCAGATAAAAATTGTTGAACTTTTAAACTACTTTTCTTTTAGTTTTTTATTTCTAAAATATGCTTTTCTCTTCTTCACTTTAGCTGGTAGTATTTTAGTAAAATTTATAATTAAATATACCTTAAAGTAGAGTTGTTTTCTTTGTGCAAATTAACATAAGAAGCATACCTTATTTTTTTCATTATATTGACAGATTAGAAAATTTTAATTTTATCACATAGCTTGTAATCAAGATCCTCAGTATGTATATATTTAAGATTGAAGTATAAATTGTAAAGTTATATAAAGAAATTCTTAAATATTATAAGAATAGTACATTCTAATAACTTTTGCAGTCTTATTTTTTTAAATGTAGTATTATAGGTTTTAAAATCAATTGTGTAAAAAAAGATTAAGAAAACCCTATTATGTCAGTGGTTTGTACACAAACTTATGAATAGGCCTTGCATGCCCAGTACGACTTGCTTTTATTAATCAGAAATAATATTTAAGGGAGAGAAACATGTAAATAAAATAGAAAATTGTTTATAATACATGCTTGAAATGACACATCAAGCTTGCAAACAATTATAAAATGTTGATCAATATTTTCTAAATATTGTTAAATTAAGTTATAAAAACTTAGTATTTTTAACATTAAAGAGTATTTAAAAGATTTTATTATAACTTCATCAAGAAGACTATACTATTAACTTCTATCTCACTTTTAATATTAACAGTGATTATGTTATTCTACTTAAGCACTGAAGTACATTTTGAATTATTGACATTTAAAAGTCTTATGTTGCATAGGGCCCTTATATTGATGAAATTTTACTATCCTTGTAAACCTTAATTTTATAAAGTTAATTTTATTTGTTATTGAGCAAAGTACAGTTTTGATGGCACTTTTGTTAGATTAAGCAACATGGAAATATCTCAGCCCTTTTATGATAATTTTGACAAGAGATTTTTGTTACTCAGCAACTTATTTGTTTGATTTCAGCCAATTCCTTTCAGAAATTCTGTTCAGATTTTTTTTCTCCTGTTTTGTAAAATCATAGGTAACTTTGGGTTATCTAACCACTGTCACCATTTAAAATTTTTAATTTTACTTTCCTATTTGTGTCACATTTTCAGTAGCTGTATGCAAATGATCCTTTGCTTTGTTATATAGAAACTGGAGTTAAATTATATACTTGCCATATATTTTTATATCTAAAAATATGTCACAGATAGTAAAATCTTTGTTTCTGTGGTTTGTCTGTCTGTTTTTCTGTTCCTTGAATTTTATTTTATCATATTTTAGATAAAATTCATTTGTAAAGCTATATACAAAAGCAAGAAAATTAAATTCTGTACTGTCATATACATTTATTCTTTTGACAGATAATTTGAAAAATTGAGACTATATTCAGTCTTCCTTTGTGTTTTCACAAGTTAACTCGATGAAGATCAACTATTACAAACAAGAGATGAAGGCTGGTCATTGTCCCTGGCACACAGAAATGGGCTAAATCGTTTCTTCTCTTTGCCACTTATTTGCAGCCCAACCTTGGCTTGAGTCTAAATGCTATGGTTGTTGCCCTGATTTAGTGGTTTTTCGAATGTGCACTTCAGCCCTCAGGGTGCTTTAGCATTGCCACAGGAACAACCAAGGGGGCCTTGATTCTCTGTACAGCCTTTCTTTGGCTTCCTTTTTTATGCAGCTTTGCTTATGCCTTCCTTTGAGAAAGGTTGCTTTGCTTAAAAGAAAGAAAGAAAACCACTTAAGTAGAAGATTTGTAAGAGTTTAGTTAATTCTAAGCTTCTGTTTTTGTTTTTTTTAAGTTATAAAAGCAATTCAGGTACATGGTGAAATAAAAAAACAAATTTCCTTGAAGTTTCCTATTATTGGCAACCATTTAATTTCAGTTATACGAGTGGTTGGTTTTAAATTTTACTTTGGATAAGACATTTCACTTTATTTATTAACTTAAGATGGTATCAGTTGACCTCAACCCATGGAAAAATTTTTCACTGACTGTTTAAGTTCTGTTTAAGTGTTTTGTTTAGCTTAGAAAAGTCAAGATAACAGGCTTGTGTTTGCATGCGTACATATGTGTAGTTTAGAACCAACATGAAAGATTTGAAAGGATCCCCCTTTAATGTAGTATTAGAATTAGGGATATAGAAGATATTTAACTCTTGATACAAATACATTTTACAAAATTAAGGTTCCAGTGGGTGATCAACATTAGGATCATGTCAGTTTCTCATTCATCGTGTTAACCTATTTCAGTTTTTTTCTGTGCTAATTGTGATTTTGTTTTACTGAGAAACTCTGCAGTGAGCAGTCTAGCCATTTGTAGCTGGGAAGATTTCTGGCCTAAACTTGGTGTTACTTGTAACTTTTTTTTTTTTTTTTGAGTTGGAGTCTCACTCTGTCGCCCAGACTGGAGTACAGTGGCCGCTCCCGGCCACTGCAGCCTCGACCTGCTGGGCTCTGGCGATCCTTCCTCCTCAGCCTTCCAAGTAGCCAGAATTACAGGCATGCGCTACCACGCCCGGCTGATTTTTTGATTTATTGTAGAGATGAGGGCTCGCTGCCCAGGCGGGTCTCGAACCCGCGGGCTCAGGCAATCCACTCACCTCAGCCTCCCAAAGGCGCGGGATTACAGGCTGAGCCACCGAGCCCGGCTGCTTGTAACTTTTTAGGACTATACACGGTAGTTTTAGTTTTAGAAGTTGGCAAACTAAATCATAAAGCAGAGTTTGACCGGTCGGAAGAAACTGAGAAGTATTTAGCATTTATATCTACTTGTTGTTTCACATCTGATGTTGTAAAAGGCATACCCTGTAGTAAAGAAAGATTAATATTATTATAGAAGACAAGGTGGAACACTGCTTAGCAGAGGTAGTCCTAAGTGGTTATCTTCCTTTTTTATCGTTTTACCATCAACACTTACTTGAGTGTGCTATTTCATGGAATCAGCTGAGTAGAAATGTCTTTGTTCAAGCCCCCATTCTTTTGACCTACAGGCAAAAGTTACTTACATGCTGTATAAACCCCATTTTATGAAAAATTTACGTTTTTACTTTGAAGTAAAAGAATTTACCAATGGGAAAGCATTGTCACTAAAATAATATATTGACATAAAAGGTATTTAAAATTTGCTGCCTATAATACCAAATTCATTGAAGTCAAGCAGTTTTCTCTAAAGGGCTAAGAGGAAATGTGAAGATTAATATCATGATGTTTTAGACATAATGATTTATCATTTTTGCTGTGCTTTCTTGTGTAGTATTTTATTTCTGATGGAGCAGTTATAATATCAAGTTTTAGATAAAGAAACTAAGGTACAGAGTTTACTAACTCACCTAAGATAATGCTTGTAAAAAGTGAAGCAGAAATATAAACAGTTATCTGATGGCGAGGCCAGCATTCTTTCCTTTATAGTCTACTATCTCATGACTTTTCAATTAAAACAATTTTTTGGATACCTTGTCAAGTTTTTGTGTATTTGCTCATGGTGTTCAGTCAAACCAACTTCGAAACCACAATTCATAGTGCTCAGACATTGCAATTAGCTAAAACCATAATTAAATTTGCTTTCAAAGAGGAAAAATTATGTTTCTTATTGAATTTTTACAAAGATTTGTTTATGTTAATATGCTTGAAGGGTGGCAAAATTGTTTTTTGAGGAATTGAAAATTAATAGACATACTTTTTGAGATGAGCTGATATACATGCTTTTGTCAATAATTTCTCAAATGAACACATCATATACAAACAAGCTTCTTCGGGGACAGAAGAGATTTTTAATTTAGTTTATTTGCATCATTATAGATCAGTATTTAGGCTGTTTATATGTAAATGTATGATTTGAGGAACAATTAAGTGTTGACAAAGTAGATTGCAGTCATATCAATTGCAGTGCATTTTCCATAATTTTTCTAACTGACATCTTTGATGATAAATAGTGGATGCCAAGTCAAAGCCGATTATACAGTGCACTAGGAATTCATGGGGCTGTCAGGGAGAAGACCGATTGACTTTAAATTTACATATTAATGAGAAGATTTGTTAAGAGGGTGCTTGACTATAGAAAATAACAGCGTATTTATAGGGCACGACATTTTATAAATAAAGCTGATGCAGGAAAATGGAAATTAAACCTTTTAGGTTAATAAATTCAAGAGACTGCTAAAATGCATATTTGCATTTTTATTTTCTTAAATTTACCTTACTCTTTGCAGTTCATGTGGGTTGTTTTTTATTCTAGGTCAAGTTTGTATAATTTTCAAGGATATAAATTACTTAAGTATTTTCTTTGTCTTTCAAGCCTATTATGAGAAACTACTTGAAGCATAAATGTAAATCTCTAAGACTGAAGTTGATTTTGTAGAATTGATAGATTTAAAAATAAATATTATGAAACACAATAAATTCTAAGAGTGATTTGAAATAAAAACCAAAATCCTTCAGTGGCATTAACTGTAAACTGAAATGAAACTCTGACACTGGCCCCTGTTAGGAATACTTTTCATTTTATGAATCTAGCTCTTTACAAATGATTTTCTCTAGGAGGTGACAGTTTTG